ACTGCCCAAAACTCGCGTTTGAATCATCAGTGGCAAATCCTTTAAAAGAAAACGTACTTACGTGAGTCAGAACTGCCGGCATTGTAGTCTAACGTTACTCTCCCAGGATCAGTAAACAGTCCTCCATAAAATGTGCTGTACACATCTGGATATTTGGGTCAAATAAGCGGCAACCACAGTGACGACCCCGGGCTGGACTCCGCTTTGTCCACGGTGAAAGTTGATGTATTCCCTCAGCGACCAGCACAGATCAGCTCTAGGCATGACGAAGCGGATATCGTCCTCTTTTGGAAGACCAAACAAAGTAGTTTCGCTTTCACAACGAAGCACACAGCGTCTTTACGACATGGCTGCAGCTTCAACAAAACTACAGTGAGAATAAAAGTTACGCCTTCTTTCTTTGCGTGAACATTTGGGCGGCGTTATGCAAATCTTCCCACATAGTGAGGTAGACATGTGGGGGCGTGTTAGAACGAGCCGTTTTAGGTAGGTGTGGCTGACTCTGAACTTTTATAAAGAATATCTCTTTAAATTTGAGACTTTAGTCTTTGCAACTTTACAGATCTTCTTTATGTTTGTAACACTCCAAAGAGAAAGGAAAAATTGAAATCGCATCATATGACCCCTTTAATATTAAGATACAATTAAACAACTGCCAACCCCCATCCTTTTTTTTTCTAAATATATTAACACATTAAATTAGCCTGTTTCTCCCTGGTTGACATGAACAACATGTTTATGTGAATCTCTGATGACGGAGGGGTGCTTGAATAGATATGTGTTTAGCATCAGTGCCAGGGTTTATAACCACGCTTAGGAACCACACCTGGCTTCTGAATGTCCGTCTATGTCTGTCCTCATTCTCTCTCTCTCTTTCTCCCTCTGATTGCTTTACCAAGCACAGGAATTTAAAGCTCTCGATGGGACCGCAACTTGCCTCTGAAAAAGCAATTAAGTCTTCATTTAAACCATTTGTTCCACTTTCTTGCTGCAGGCCTAAAGCTCGCCCTATACAACCTTTTCAGGACTCCTTCAGAGGGGCCTTGTCAAGAAGAAACCCCTGCACACACACACAGTCACACCGGCAACAAATATAACAGGTTAACACATTAACAGTTTCCAGTTGCTACCCAGCATGAAATGTCAGGCAAGAGGAGAGCAAAAATATGAAAAATACAAAGCATGCCACATGCCAGAGGGGCTGGAGGGTGGGGAGGAGTGGAGCAGACGGGTGTGAGAGAGAGTGTGTGTTTGAGAGTGTGTCGTCTTGTCAGGTAATTGGCAATGCACACATAAGGCCAGAAATTATTTGCATTTTTGTTGTTTTCAAGTGGTCATTATTGTGCTGAACCATCTGTGTTGGTGTGCGGCCCCGTGATGTCATTTCCTCTGCCTGTGAGGGAAGAAGGCCGCCAGCTTCGCACTGTGTGCTTCCCGTGACAGCTTGAAGACATACAGTTGTTGCGCATCCTGCTGCTTAATGCAATCCAGATCTTTGGAATCCAAGTCCGCTTTTTTCTCTCTCGCCTCTCGCTTATTCCCTTCTCTTGGAACTGCTGCCATGTCCCCTTTCAGTGGATACAGAGGCGGGAATCACAAGCTGCCTCTCTCATTCTGGTCACCATAAAAGTCATACATCATGTTATTCCTTGAGGACTTTCATTTTTTTCCCCTTCATCTGATAATAAAAGTATTATTATTATTGAAATATATTACATAGAAAATGAGAACAGTTAAACATCTCAGAAGTTTTCTTATTTTATTCTCTATTTTGCTTTTATTTTCTTATTAAAGAAAAAACTAATACAGTTCAGTGTCTCAAGATTTTTTCCTATAATTAATCTAATAATTGTATGCGATTTTAATTTATATTAATCAATTTAAAGTAAATAGATTAACACCTCAGAATTTTTATCATCCCTTTTTATTTATTTTATTAAAAACCAGTACAGGTAAATGTCTTGTTTTTTTTTTGTCCGTACATAATTTTTTTTATTTTTTATTTTTTTTTTTATTGAAAATCGGTAGTTTAACATCCCATGATTTTCTCATCTAATTTATTTCATTATTACATTGAAGACCAGTACAGTTAATTTATTTCCCCCCCTCACCTATTTATTTATTTAATTATTTATTTTCAATTGAAAATCAGTATAGTTTAGCATCTCAGGATATTATTTTTCTTTTAAACAATTTTTTTCAAGTGTTGAGTGGGATTTTAAGTCATTGTACTATCAAAAACCCTATTTTCCCTTCACAGCAGGAGCCGTCTGTGGCGCTGGGCATTGTGGGTATCTATAGGGGTCAGGAGAAGCAAGTGTTTGCAACATTTGTACAGATGTTGTGTTATTTTTATAGCTCTCCTCCATTTGCTGGGTGGCATTTCCTCCAGTGTTAACAGCAAGGTTAACTGCACACAGACGCGCTCAGGGACTCCGGCCAATTTTTTTATTGTTACACTAACTCAAGCAATTTTTCTCTCACTCTCTCTCATTTGTACCGCACACCCTGACCCCCCCAAACAGACACACACACTAATACACACTGACCCCCAACTCCTGACTGGGAGACTGTAGATTTATTTTCTCGAGAATTATGTATGGCATTGAGTGTAATGCCGTAATGACTTTGCCTTCACTGGAGGTAGCTAGCTAAGCGCTAGGTGAGAAGTGAAGCATTTAGAGATTACTGCAGCGCTGGTGGGCATTCACAATACTTGCTTATATAGTACATACATTGGTGTTCTTATTCAAGAACTTAGTGTTAGCCAACAAACCGTGTTGTTTGAGCAGTTTCTAATTTACATTTTCTTTTCATCACCAGCTAACTAGACAGCGTTTGGTGAGCGCCGATGGAATCATCAACCCAAATGCCTTCTACATTTATTTAACTGCCTGGGTGAGCAATGACCCAGTGGCCTACGCTGCATCCCAGGCCAGCATCCGTCCGCACCCTCCTGAGTGGCTCCATGACAGGACAGACTCCATTCCTGTCAGCAGACTCAATAGTGAGTACTTTCTGGTTCATTTATCACCAAGTCCTCAATGTAATATGCTACATTTTTGATTGTATCCTGTTGTCTTTAGCTCCTATGCTTTGTGAGCACATCAGTTTCATCCCAAATAGCAACAGAAGGCATTAATGCATCAATTGGTTTGGTTATGCTTAGTTTGCATTGGTGGTTTGGAAATTAAACATCCTAAATCTGTGAATAAACTTGCTATAATTTCGGGAATTTATTTGTGTGTAGGCCTAACGATGACTTCAACATATAATAGCATTTACAAAGCATTTTACTTCTGAAGTGTTACGTATTTCAGAGTAAAACAGAATATTAAATCGTAAAATAAGATAAATCTCTCCTATATTTTATTGTCACACTTTATTTTAAGGTCCAATTCTCGCTATTAACAAACTATTAACTATAGCTGTTGCCTCAATAAACTCCTAATTTGCTGCTTATTAATAGTTAGTAAGGTAGTTTAGTTTAGGTGTTGGGTAGGATTAGGGATGTAGAATATGGTCATGCAGAATATGTGCTTTATAAATACTAATAGACAGTCAATATGTTAATAATAGGCATGCTAATAAGCAACTAGTTAATAGTGAGACTTGGTCCTTATACTAAAGTGTTACCTATTTTACCAAGTAAAAGGATTTGATGACATCAACCATTTTAGTTTAGTTTTTTTTATTATAGATTTTATTTAGTTTTATTTTAATGCATTAATTAATTACTGTTTGTTTATATTTATTTGTATATTGTTTTTATTATTGTTTATAAATATTTTTATATAAAATATAAATATAAAATAATTAATCCGAAAACGATTCATCTGTCCATGTTTAAAATAAACAAATAAATAATCACTTGGAGTTTATGATTAAATGTGAAAGACTATTAGTATTCTGTTAGCATTCTTAACAAGAAGTTTGACATTTGGCTGATAGTAGTCAACTGAGCTTTTCCAAAAGTGAATGACTTGTGTGTCATTTACTAAGTTCAGACAGCGAAAGTGGGTTTATTCAAGTTGTAGTCGTATTTTTAAAGTTAACATCGACACTGGGCTGCTTGAGCTTGTGTACATTGTGTGTGTGTGCAGTATACAGTGTGCGCTCAGGAGAAATGTGACTGGATAACAAGCTGAAAAGGCCTCTCCGACTCGGAGCCCCCGCAGCAGGCTGGCAGACGTCCAACTCCCGTCCTGATGGAAATTTATAGTGGAGATTATAACGGGGCAAAAGCATGTTTAGCAAGTGGTCCTGCCTGACCCCTTCAGGCACTGGAACACACACTCAGATATTCCCTCCCTTCCACCCACACGCTCTTCACAGACGCTCTCACACACACCTCCGGAGCGTTAGTCATTCTGGGTCACATTCTTCTGATTTTATTTGTGGTTTTAAGACTGCCGCTTATCCAAGTCCAGTAGCCGGAGTGATGAGTCATTCCAGGCCTGCTGCTGAAAGCCCTGCAGTGCACACAAGCTTTGATGACAGGTGATAACTGTCAGCATGAATTTGGCAATGCTCAAATGTTTGATGGTCATCCGTGTGTGTTCGTTCCTGAGAAGAGCAGGGGGATATTTCAGCGCAGATTTTTGACAGCATAATTACAGCAGATCACAGTCGGGATTGACACTTGGCTGCATGTCGAGATTTGATAGCTGGTAATTTATCCCCCTTTCCTTCTTGGGGCGGTAAAGAAATCGACATGTTTAATAAGTGCAGTCTGTCACCTTGAGAACACTGATGTCCTTTATGCTGACTTGCTAAGAGTGAGAGATAATGCACTGGAAAAAAATACATGTAATTTTAATGATAAAAAATAAAAAATGCTATGGTAAAAACATAGCATACAACCAGTGTGTTATAAAAGTTCGAAATGGATTGTATTAATGTAATAGGTTGGTTTATTAACATTATATCAGTTAAAGAAGATAATACGTTTAAGTTCTGGCAACTACAGCTAAAGCAAGGTTTTTTTTTTACCATAATTTTCACAGATGTTTACAGGATGTGGCTTGTTGTAAAAGTGAAATTTACATTATTTAATTTCTATGGCCATCTTTGCATTTATCTTCTGCAGTTCCTGCCGCTGAGCCCATCGAATATGCACAGTTTCCCTTCTACCTCAACGGGCTTCGCGAGACGCCACAGTTTGTGGAGGCCATCGAGAGCGTCCGCTCCATCTGCAGCAACTACAGCCGTCAGGGCCTGCCCAGCTACCCCAACGGCTACCCCTTCCTCTTCTGGGAGCAGTATGTAGGCCTGCGCCACTGGCTCCTGCTGTCCATCAGCGTCGTGCTGGCCTGCACCTTCCTGGTGTGCGCCATCTTCCTGCTCAACCCCTGGACTGCGGGAATCATTGTGAGTTTCTCCTTAAGATGTGTCAGGGATTTGTTTAAACGTACATCCATCACAGATTTGGCTCTATGTGTAAATGTACATTAAAGGCCTGTACAAACCAATCATTTTTGGCATGACACAGAACATTTCTGTGAACTCCTTTATGCTCTTAAATATCCAGTGCAATTATCTGTTATTTTCTTTAGTTGGAGGCTAGGTCAATATCTTTTTAAATTGTTCTCATTCCGAATTCTTTTTTTTTTTCCTGAATATTTGACATCAGATTAAGTGTAAGTAGTTTTGGCATAAAAGTAATAAAAATATTTTCAAATATTGTGGCATTTATTTGCATTGGACTTGGTGTGAACAGGCCTTCAGTGGTTAAGGGATGGATGGATAGATGGATAAATAGATAGATGTTACAGTTGCGATAATATTTCTAAATTGCAACTATTTCTAATAACTGTGCATCATAATATGTACATTTAATGTATTTTATATTTCACAGATGCACCTATTTTCTAATAATTGCACCTTTACAACTCACTATTGCACATATTTCTCTCAGTCGTGACTGTCTACTAATTTTTTTCTGTATATCTTTTATCACAGACTTTATGGCAACAACCTTTTTGTTTACTCTGAGGTGGAAACAAGCTTACTAATTGAGAACTAATTAAAAGTGTACCATTTGGAGCAAGACAGGGGAGGGCAGGCAGGAATAGCTCAAGAGAAGCTGTGTTTTTACAGCCCTGCGCTTTGTGTTTATCTTATACTGTGAGAGCCAGTTTGTTTAGTCTACGTGAGGCTTTTTGAGACATTTCTTTAAAATAAATGGGGAAATGAGGGGTTACCACAGCAACTATATCACTCCACATATAAAACAGACCTGCTGTTCTTGCTGAAATGTGTGCGTATGTATCATTTATATCATTCGTGAGGCCTAACGTTCTTTCCCACACTGTGTCTCCGCATTTCGATGGTCTCTGTTTTATTAGGGGCAGTGTTTAAGCCATCTGACTGATCTAACTCTGTCTGGCAGGATAGCGGTTTCGTCCGTTTGCTTTACTGGACACTTGAAAGGGAAAGTTATTGCCCTGCTTCAGCTTTTACCATTGTGCTTTTGTCCCAGACCACCAGCGGCCCCCTTAAACTCCATACGTCCCCACTTCCGCCATGCTCGACCCCCCTTTAATTTGCCAGCCCTCCCAGCCCCCAAACTCCCCTCCGTTGGCCCTCTTTCTGTCCTCTTCATCCCTCTTCAAAGGCAGCTGGGCCCCCCAGTAACCCAAGACTCATCAGCTGATTATGGCATTTACTTAACCAGTTCGTAGCTCGAGTTCAGCTCCATATGAAAGCGTTGCAAACGGACCCTTCTGAGGAGCAGATATTTTCCCACATTCCACAGCGCTTTGTCTTCGCTAGCCCATCTAACCCGAGCCGTACTTTACTTTAATCTATGTAAAGTACAGCTCCTCGTGTTTTAGGAAAGAACAAAGATGATGGATTTATGCTTGCCGGTCCTCTCTCGCAGGTCTTGGTGCTGTCTTTGATGACGGTGGAGCTGTTTGGCATGATGGGATTGATCGGCATCAAGCTCAGCGCTGTCCCTGTTGTCATCCTTATCGCTTCCGTTGGCATTGGTGTGGAGTTCACCGTCCACGTGGCACTGGTGAGTTCATGTGCTAGTCAAAATTGATCTTACAATTGTGACTGTATGTAGCTAGTTCACTCATTGTGATGATTATTGGATGTGTTTATTGGTCTGAGTGATTCATGTTGATCATATTTGTTGTTTTCCTCCCAGGCGTTCCTCACAGCCATCGGGGACAGGAACAAGCGAGCCATTCTAGCACTTGAGCATATGTTCGCACCAGTGCTGGATGGAGCGTTTTCCACCCTGCTAGGAGTCTTGATGCTGGCAGGGTCAGAGTTCGACTTCATAGTCAGGTAAAGACAGCAGACTTCTGCTGCGTAGATTGTGGTGCATTGTACTTTAAGATGGGGATACCTTTGATAGTCTTCTCTCGGTTTTCTCTCTTATGAGTTAAAGCTTCTCAAATATGGTGTCATATTTATTTTCTAACAATGTTTGTACACAATAGCTGATCTTACAGTATATTTGTCCTCAATATTGTATCCTAACAATGCGAGATGTGACTATTCCAGTGTCAAGCAAATTTTGTCCACACTGAAAACTATGGTAAAATTATGGTTAATCAAAAAAGGTGGCATTCTTGTTTAAGAGGTATAATTAACCTAAAAATGAAAATTCTGAATCAATTAACTCACCATAATGTTATTCCAAACCCAAAGTTTTTTGTTCATCTTCAAAACACAAATGAAGATATATTTTAAATCCAACCCAAGATAGTTCTGTCTCTCTATTAAGGGTGCAAAAAGGTGGAAAATTTCCAGTAAATTTTGGAAATTTGGGAAACTTTCCAGGATTATGCCAGGGATTTTTGGAAAGTTTCCAGAAATTTACCAGAAATGTTCCACCTTTTTGCAACCCTACTCTCTATTGAAAGTCCTTGTAACCAAAACTTTGAGTGTTCAAAAAATTCACAAGTTCTATGAACAGGTTTGTTCTTGCGCATCTATCTATCGATATACGATCGATCTATCTATCTATCTATCTATCTATCTATCTATCTATCTATCTATCTATCTATCTATCTATCTGTCTGTCTGTCTGTCTGTCTGTCTGTCTGTCTGTCTGTCTACACACACACACATAAATTCACTTTTATTTTGAATATGAACAGATGACATGAGTGTGAGTACTTGATAGAATTTTTATTTTCGGGTGAACAACACTCATATATTCATAGGGAGTATGTTTAATATTCATGAGGAGTATGATTGTTATCCAGTAAATTTCCTAAAACCAAGCGACTGACAAAATGCGCCTCTCTTTGCTCGGCACTGCTGGCTTGGACAGAAACCAATTAACATAGAAAAGATAGCTTTTAACATGTGTCACTTTTGTCACTTCACCCCTGGTTATGATTCAATGTAAATGTTTTCTTAACTCTCTTCTCAGTCCTAACCAACATCCTTTCACGTGCTACAAGCACGTATCTTTCCTGTCTGTCTTCACAGAGCTTGAGGCTCTCCTGTGTTTTCTGTAATCTTTTTTTTTTCTACGGCCCTGCAAAAACATTTACAAGCTGAGAGCAGAGAGGGCCCGGGGGTTATTTTGCTGCAAGTCGAGGAGTGGAAATGAGGAGTGACACACACTGCTACTTAGAGGATCTAAATCAGTAACTTTGCAATGGCTTTATGTTTTACGTCTTTCCTGAGAACAGATGAGTCGAACACATCTGGTAATTTATTGTTTCTTGAAGTGGTATCGAGACTATCGTTGTGCTGAAATTCAAATTACACATATCAAACTGAGTCATGGGTGTTTGAGTGGTAAGTGTCTTGTCTGTTTCTACAGGAGGGAAAGAACAAATGTCTGCAGTAGCTCATTCTTATTAGAGGACTGGAAAACCACCACGGCCCTCCACCCTCAAATCACTCTGGATCTAAAGTAGCATGCCAGAAAAATAATGCACACACAGGTTCAGAGCAATCACACACACTCTCTCCGCAGACCACATTGGGCCCCAGTCCCTCTCATGGGCTCCCATTGAAACGCAACTACTGTTTTTTCATCAAACAAAACCCCCTGACCTCCGAAGATATGGAAAAAAACAAAAACGCAAGCTGTATTTTTATAGCCTTGCAGGAATAAATGTTTCCCTGACTTTGCTCTGTCAGGTCCGCTAATGTTTTGAGTCCAAACAGATCAGACGGGTTGCTCAGCGAGGTTTCACTAGGGAGAAGTGGCTTTCAAGAATGGCTCTTGGTTCAGGGACGCTTCACGCGACGTCTCGAAGTTCAAAGTTGAAGAACATAAAACTCTTTTGTTGCTTCAGCCAGTCTGAAGGAATCGCTCTCATCCATGGAAAAGCACACCGGCGTAAATCACTTGTCAATATGAACATTTAGTTTGGAGTCGGTGACTTTCCGAACAGTTCAACCAAGACGATGTTCATTTTTCGTAGTCTGTTGATTTGTAGCTATTGATCTGTTTGATCTCTCTGCTTGTGAGTTCTGCCTTTCGTGTGGTAGAGCAAGAGCCAAACGCAAACCAAAAAGTGCAATTCAAGATGTCTTGCTTTATGAAATACAGACAAACTAAAGATCCAAACTTTTTTTCAAACATAAGCCTAAATAATAACAGGCTGGCTTCTCTCTCCACTCTCATCCTAAACAAATGGCGTCTGCTTGGTTAAACGCTGTGGTAGCTCTTCTCTTGAACCAGACCTGCAGAACCTCCCGAAGGATGTAAATAAAGCAAGCATTTCTAGAGAGACACGCGGGTCTGTGGTTCTCCAGAGAGAAGCCCACCTTTTGTGGCCATTACAGGACATTGTTTGAGTCTAAAGAGCTGCTTGCAAACCTGGGGAGGCCGAGCAAGAGCAGCATCAGTTATAAATGTGTCTGTGAGTTTAGTCTGAGGCACAGCTGTGCTGCATACCAGCTGGCGGGTGTTTGCTAATATACCCACTGTTTCTCCCACACATGCATTCACATATTCAACCCAGTTTAAGTGTGGTTTAAATGCGTCTTTTACCCGTCCAATGCCTTTGATAGTATCACTGCAACAAAAAAAAAGTTTTCCAAGAAAAATATAAATACATCCATTAATCAAGATAAATTTACTTGAGAAGAAAAATCATGTAAGATAATAAGAGTGGTTTTCAGAAATATAATTATTTGTATCTATTTATTATATATATATATATATATATATATATATATATATATATATGTGTGTATATGTATTTTTCTTATTTTTTAATCTTTTATCTAGATGTATAGATAAATTAAAATTATATTATTATGTAATTTTATATATTATATATACTATTATATATTATATATATATATATATATTACGAGGCAAACAAGACGTGCGGATCCATTTGCAAGCTTTATTTAAGGATGTGGTCAAAACAGGCGAGGGTCAGACAATGGCAAACAGGTATATTGAGGGCAAGACACAAGAGTGGTCCAGTGAACGGGCGTGGGGTCGATCTCCGGCGAACAATGTCCAAACAGGGTAATCCAAAGGGTAAATCCAAAACACAGGCAATGATCCAGGCGAGGGGTAAACAGTATCCGAACAGGGCGAGACGAGAGGGTAATCCGGAAAACACAGGCAAGAATCAGAACACGGGAAAATACAGGCAAGGCAGGACTATGACTAGGTATAAAACTAGAACAGGCTCCGTAGAGTAGCTATCGCTACTCTATATATTAGTGCTGTCAAATGATTAATCGTGATTAATCGCATACAAAATACGTTTTTGTTTGCATAATATATGTTGTGTGTATATTTATTATGTATATATAAATACACACATACAGTATATAGTTTGAAAATATTTACATACAAATATTTATATAATTTATATTATAAATAAATATATTTAATATATAAACAAAATTTTTCTGAAATATATACATGCATGTGTGTGTGTTTATATTACATTATAAATGTACACAGATATGTAAACAAAAACTTATTTTGGATGTGATTAATCGCGATTAATCGTCTGACAGCACTAATATATATATGTATGTAAGGGATAATCAACTGTTTGCTGTGCATTAAAGGATTTTAAATGCACGACGCGGAGGCAAAGAACCACGGTGTCAGGCTCTGGGCCAGGTTTTGTGTGTGTCTTTGCTCCCTACGTACTCCGTCTTCCAGTTTCTGTCTCGTGTTTTGAATTCATTGTTCCCAGGTTTCCTATGTTAATTGTCATTAGTTCCAGGTGTCCCTTGTCTTCCCTCATCAGTTCCTGTGTATTTAAAGTGTGTTCTTGTCCTTTGTTAGTCGTTAAATGTCATTCTGTCATCCTGATGTGTTGAGTCCTGTGATCCCAAGCCTTTGTTCAATAAACACTTCTTAGTTACTTTACTCCGTGTCTCCTCGCTCCTTCGTTCCCGTGTTCCTTGCGTGTGTGAACCATGACAGAACGACTGACCCAAAACAGTAAGCGGCGCTCCTTCTCCCGTGTTTTATTTTCATATTTTGAACAGTCTTTTGTTTTCCTTTTTTCTCCCCTGTTTGTCTCCGCGGATGGAAGACCGCACTGTGAAGCGTGCCGGCCGCGCCGTTGTAAAGCACGCCAGCCGGGACTTTCTCCAGCCCGCTGACCGGGCTGATGTCAAGCCCGTCAGCCGGGGCTATCTCTAGCCCGCTGGCCTCGCCGAAGACAAGCCTGCCGGATGCTCAGAACCAACCCGTACCAAGGTTAAGCTTGCCAGCCGCGCAAAGTCAAACTCGCCGGCCCCGCATATCCACGCCTTTTCCCCCCGAACCAGAAGAGGAGACTAGGGGTGAGGAAGAGGGGTGTCGGCTTCAACCCCAGAGCTCACTCCCCTGTTGGCCCAGAACGCGCCTTTTCCCCCCATCCAGAAGAGAAGACTAGGGGTGAGGAGAAGGGTGTCAGCTTCAACCCTAGAACTCGCTCCAGTGTCGGCCCAGGCCCCAGAGTTCGCTCCAGTGTGGACCCAGACCAGAAGAGGATGCTAGGGGTGAGGAGAAGGGTGTTGGCTGTGGCCCCAGAGTTCGTTCCAGTGTCAGTCCTGTTCCCGCGTATAGCCCACTGAGGGCTCCCGATACCCAGTTCAGCCCAGGAAGGGCTCCCGATCCTGAGTTAAGCCAAGGAGGGGCTCCCAATCCCCCGTCGAGCCCAGGAGGGGCTCCCGATCCCCAGTTCCGCACAGGCAGGGCTCCCGATCCCCGGTTAAGCCCAGGAAGGGCTCCAGTCCCCGGTCCTGGCCCACGGAGGGCCTCGGAACCTGTAAACGTCCCCATGTATTTTGGGGGGGGGCAGTAGAGCTCCAGCCATACAGGCCGAGGCAGGGGCTAAGGCCGCGGCCTCGAAGGCTGCTCCGCCAGGACCTCCTGAAGTCCCCACTCCGCCATGCCTCCTGTGTTCTCTACCCCGCCATGGGCTCCTGTGTTCCCTACCCCGCCATGGCCTCCTGTGTTCCCTACCCCGCCATGGCCTCCTGTGTTTCCTATCCCGCCATGTCCTCCTGTGGTCCCTCTTCCGCCTTGGCGCCCAGAGCTGACAGATCCACCTTGGTGCCCCACTCTGGAGGCCTCCCGTCTGGTAACCCTACACCTAGAGGTCTCCAGAGCGCCCACCCCCCCTTCCCATTGGATGTTTTGGTGGCGTGAGGACACGCCTTTTGGGAGGGGGGAGTAATGTCAGGCTCTGGGCCAGGTTTTGTGTGTGTCTTTGCTCCCTATGTGCTCCGTCTTCCAGTTTCTGTCTTGTGTTTTGAATTAATTGTTCCCAGGTGTTTCCTATGTTAATTGTCATTAGTTCCAGGTGTCCCTTGTCTTCCCCTCATCAGTTCCTGTGTATTTAAAGTGTGTTCTAGTTCTTGTCCTTTGTCAGTCGTTAAACGTCATCCTGTCCTCCTGATGTGTCGAGTCCTGTGATCCCCAGCCTTTGTTTAATAAACCCTTTTGAGTTACTTTACTCCGTGTCTCCTCGCTCCTTCGTTCCCGTGTGCCTCGTGTGTGTGAACCGTGACACACAGAGGGTGGTTGCCTCTGCAAAGTGCATTTAAAATATTTTTTAATGCACGACAAGCCGTTGATTATCCCGCTTATTCCATGGTCATTTGCCAGTTATAGACTGTTAAAGACAGTTAAAGACAGTTATAGACAGTTAAAACTAGTATTGCTCTTTGCAGCGCAATATTTGACCAGAAGGGTAAAAATGAGTTATTTTCGTCAGTTATGGCACATTAGCGCTAGCATTCTGCCCGCTTCAAATCAGATACAGAGATTAAATAGTGCGGTAAGATCACATTTATTTGAATGAATTATAGCATTTATTTCAATTAATTATCGATCGAGAGAGAGAAAGAGATGACAGTTGTGTGTGCTTTACCTGCATGCTGCGTCTGCGCGTCTCTCTCTACAAACAATTAATTACTCCAAAAACAGCGCAACCTCATTGCTGAGAAATATATCTAGTATCTAGCGATCTAGTATCTAGGCTATTTTATGAATAAAAATCGTTGACAAGTTTATGTGTGTGCGCAGCGCAATCTGCAATCTCCGACTCTCTCACGTTCTCTCTCTCTCTCTCTCTCTCTCTGTGTGTGTGCGTGTGTGTGCGTGTGTGTGTGTGTGCGCGAGAGTGATGAGTGTGGGTTTGTGTGCATCAATTAAAGCAGCACATTAATATGGAACGTTGATTAAACCTACTTGGAACTACCTGTGCATTAAACTGCATACCTGCCAGCCAATCAGAATCTAGTATTCAGACAGACATGTCCAGTCACAGTTCAGCTTAAGTAGTAAATGTAAATTTGTATAGATGTTTAGATATTTTACTGGAAAAAATACTGATTAATGCAATAATTTTTTTGTGGTTGAAAAAATTTGTAGCGTTTCCCTATGAATTAATATTAAATAATAGGTATTCCCAAAATGTCATTATTTTTGTACATAAAGAAGGAAATTCAATGTTTAAAATAATAAAATAAAATTATAATAAATAAATAAAAAAAACTAGAAAAAAAGCGTGTTCTCTTGTCCCCAAGTTTCTTTGAGGTACAAGATGGCAGCTGCAATTTGAGCCGCAGCAATTTACACAGATGCTTTAGTAGTGAAGGACAGAAAGCTGGCCATAATGAAGAAGAGAGAAAGAGCCAGGGAGCGAAGGAGGACAGGAGGGAGGGATTTGTCGAGGAGATTGGGGGTCTTACCTGATACTCTAGAGATTTAATTAGAGTAGGGGATTGTGAAAGGCAGGGAAATTTCACAGGGGCTTAGTATAGAAAGAGTGATAGAGAGAGAAAGAGGGAAAAGTGAATGTGCTTGAGGCCAGGCAAGAGGGGCCTGTAGTCTTTCCTCTCCTCTCTTCCTCCTAGACTAAATTGTTTAAATTCTATACCGTTCACTTCATTTGTTTGCTTCTGCGTTCTTTTTTTTTTAAAGAGTGAGAGGCCCCTGTGCCTTTGTGCTTTGCCTCTCTTCTCTCGCAAGCCTTGTACTCCACATTCCTTCCCATTTTGCTTTCCCTGTGTTTGCTTGTACTCCACTCACCCCTAGAAAAAGAAAAAAAAAATCGCTCTTTTTCCTTCCCTATTTTCCATGCCTTTGAATTAACCAACTAATTATGTCCTCTGCTTCTCTGTGCTGCTTTCTAAAAGACCTCTTTGGAGACTTTCTCTGGCACAAGGTAAATTTAGTTTAAAACCAAACCCGACTAAAGTCTTTTTGTGTGCGAATGCTTGTTAGAATGTGCCTGAGTGACTTTTGCTCTGTGCTTGATTCAGAGCAGTAAAGTTCTTTTTTTATTCTAATGACAGTGTTTTTTGCTGTGTATTTGCAGGTATTTCTTCGCTGTTTTGGCCATCCTAACAGTGTTAGGGGTCCTGAATGGACTGGTGCTGCTCCCAGTCTTATTGTCCTACTTTGGCCCTTATCCTGAGGTAAGAGGATTGCTCCCGTTAAGTTATCCTGTATAACACTTTCACATGCCATACATAGAGCTATGCAGAGTTATTATATACTCTGCTTAGCATTGTCTGAAAGAGTGACTTTAAGGGATGCCAATATTACAAATTCAGATTTTACCATTGCTGTCCTCACATAAAGTTTACCTACAGTATCATATTTGATACACAAATTTCTAAGACCTCTAAATTATCAACATGATCCAAACTTGTACACAATCTGTTACATGACTTTTGTCATTTTATTTTATACTTGTTTATTTATACTTTAATTTATACTTATTTAGCAAGTCAGTTTAGGTTTACTTGATTATCCATACATTTTTTTTTTTAGAAAAATAAAATTGATCAAATATGATGCATACAACTTTTGAGGAATGTTTATATGTACATCCCTCAATCATCATTACATGGTTTGCCCCCACAATAAAAACCACAGAGCTTTGATCATAGAACTAAGCGTTTAAATATTATCTTACTAAGACATATTGGGTTGCAACTGGTATTTTTAGAAGTACTATTATAAAGATCTTTAATTTATATTACAGGCTATCAGAATTTCATCTTACTGTTTGGCCATATTAATATCAGCAACTGCAAAAATTTGAAATTTCGCTCAGTTTGGGCCTCCGAATAAAACTGCGGTGTTTTTTTTTCTTCCTCCCAGAGGCTGAGCTCCATATTCTCCAATATTATACTTTGTTATTTTTAAAAACACCATTGTTTTAATAACACTTCTTTAACAAATCTCAAAACTAATTTCCATTTTAATACTGTACAATATAATGTTGTGATGCCTAAACTCACCTTTAGCATTTAAAATGCTTGATTTTAGTTTTTTTTTTTTTACAGTATTTATTTAGACAAAATTGCATAGCATTTAATTATATGCCATTTATCGGTTATTGATCATAACATCAGTATTTTTAAGCGTGGCTTAACTGTCCAAATACTTCTTAGACCCAGTGTACATATTCAAGACTAGCACTGTACCCTCTAATGATGTGAAAAGTTTCAAATATCACAGGACTTGCACAAATGTCAGACAGAGCAGCTTCTCAGATTTAGATTTTCATGTCCATTACACTTCCAGGTATCTCCAGTGGATGGGCGAAGCCGGCTGCCCACACCGTCCCCAGAGCCTCCCCCACAGGTGGTCCGCTTCACCATGCGACCCAGTCACACGACCCCTGAAGCAGGTTCAGACTCTTCAGACTCAGAATATGGTTCCAACACTACTGTGTCCGGCATTAGCCAAGAGCTTCAGCAGTATGACCTCCAGCCCAACAGGGAGCGATCAGCCAGACTAGAGGAGGTGCGAATCGCCACAGGGGGACGACAAGGCAGTCGTCAAGTTGAACTGCCAATGTTTCCTCCTTACTCAGTGAGTAAAGCATTTATATCAATATATATCTGACATAAAAACAATGAACTAACATTGTTTTCCACGTTTTCCGCAGGATGACTCTAGACCGCAGAAACCACCGCAGCATTACAGGTCCACCCATCTACCCAGTTCTCAGGATGCTGGACCTCAGTCGTCAAAGCGATACTGTAGCAGGGACCCTAAGAGGGACTTTGGGAGCGGACACCCGCCCCCCCCTCACAGGCCGCGCATGGATGCTTTTGAAACCTCTACTGAGCCAGGTGGCTGTTCGGGCCCCAACCACCGGGAACGTTCAGGGGCCCATCGCCCCCGCTCACACAACCTCTACACTCACCCTTCCCATCCGTCCACAGGCCCCTCCTACTGTCAGCCCATCACAACAGTGACAGCCTCGGCCTCAGTGACGGTCGCCGTTCATTCGGGGATGCCCGGCCAGAGCCCCGCCTACCCGTCTTACCCCTCCAACGACAGCTATCACACTTCAGAAGATGTCTACACTGACCCTCACTTCTCCGACCCTCACGTGCCCTTTGACAAGAGCAGCGACAGCTCGAAAACAGAGGGCATGGAGCTGCAGGATCTAGAATATGACACTCCCAATGTCTGCCACTCAAGACCCCCCAGCTGAGGTTAGTAGGGCTGTCAATTGATTCAGATATTTAATAATACTAAATCATATCAGTATTCATAATGTATGAATTAATGTTTATTTTTAATTAAAAATGTCATTAAAATATATATATGTTGTACATATTATATATTATCATATATTTACACTACCATTCAAAAGTTTGAAGTCAGTAATATTTTTTTGAGGAAAAAAAAGGATGCATTATATTGATCAAATACATTTATATTGTTACAAAATATTCAACTTCAAATAAATGCTGCTCTTTTACTCATTACTATTCAAGAATCTTGAAGAAGAAAAAAACGGTTTTCCAAAAATTTAAAGTCAAGTCAATTTTATTTGTATAACACTTTTCACAATGCGCATTATTTCAAAGAAGCTTTACAGAAAATCGTGATGGTAATGTTTGTAGTATCTTAATATCTTCATGCATTATAGTCGCATTTAGCAGATTAGAGGTATCAAGCAGCACAACTGTTTTCAACATTGATAATGTTTCTTGAGTAGATCATGAGACACTGAAGACTGAATTAATGGCTGCTAAAAATTCAGCTTTGCCATCACAGGAATAAATATTATTTTAAAGGGGTCATATGATGCTGCTAAAAAGAACAGTATTTTGTGTATTTGGTGTAATGAAATGTGTTTATGCGGTTTAAAGGGTTAGTTCACCCAAAAATAAAAATTGGTGTATATGACTTTTGGTGTATATTATATGTAAATCCTAGGTGTATATGACTTTCTTCTTTCAGATGAATCCAGTTATATAAAAAATTGTCTTTGATCTTTCAAGCTGTTTTCATGGCACTCAACAGGTGTTGCATGCATCAGTCCAAAAGAAGTTAAATAAAATGCGCCCATCCATAAAAAAAAGTGTCTCACACGGCTCTGGGGGGTGAACAAAGGCCTTCTGTAGCGAATCGATGCGTTTTTGTAAGAAAAATATCCATATTCAAACCGTAATAATCACTTTAATCTGGCTTGCGCTCACTGTTGTATACTGGAAGCAGTTCCGGGAGGATGACGTATGAGGTCAGTGCTGCGCATGTGCCAGTGAGTCTCGTGAAAACCAACGTTTGTTAACAGGAGCAAAGGGAGCAAAGTTTCCTTACTTTAGCAAAGGAAAACAAGTCTCCTCTTGGCTTATATCGAAATCCTCCGACATTCTTCTTTACAAATCCTCGTTTTGTACTTCTAATTAGCGACTGTTGTTTTGTTTTGATCTCTCCCCTGCGCTTCCGCGTGCGTCACTTCAGAGCGCCGCATGCGCAAAGCCGACCTCCATACGTCATCCGCCCCGGAGCTGCTTCCAGTGTGCAACAGTGAGCGCAAGCTACATTAAAGTAGGGCTGGACGATATGGCCCAAATTTATATCACGATATATTTCTTAATTTTGGTCGATACGATATAATTCCGATATCGATATGAATTCTATTTATCCGAAATAGAAATCTTTTGTAACATTATAAATGCCTTTATCATCACTTTTGATCAATTTTAAGCATCCTTGATAAATAAAAGTATTAATTTCTATAATTATTTTCCCAAAAAATATAAAAAAAATTATACTAAATGGAATAGTGTATAATTTTACAAAAGCTTTTTATTTCAGATAAATGCTGATCTTTGGATCTTTCTATTCATCAAAGAATCCTGAAAAAAAAAATTACTCAACTGTTTTAAATATTGATAATCAGCAAATTAGCATATTAGAATGATTTCTGAAGGATCATGTGACACTGAAGACTGGAGTAATGATGCTGAAAATTTTACATTTTAAAATCTATTCAAATAGAAAGCAATTTTAAATAGTAAAATATTTCAACATTTTACTGTTTTTGCTGTACTTTGGATCAAATAACTTCAGGCTTGGTGAGCAGAAGAGAATTCTTAAAAAAACAACATTAAAAATCCTACTGTTCAAAAACTTTTGACTGGTAGTGTAGGCTGATTATTCTTATACACTCTTAAAAATAAAGGTGCTTCAAAAGGTTCTTCACAGCGATGCCATAGAAGAACCATTTTTGGTTCCACAAAGAACCATTCAGTCAAAGGTTCTTTAAAGAACCATCTCTTTCTTACCTTTTTATAATCTGAAGAACCTTCTTTCGCCACAAAGAACCTTTTGTGAAACAGAAAGGTTCTTCAGATGTTAAAGGTTCTTTATGGAACCATTTAGACAAAAAGGTTCTTCTATGGCATCGTGAAGCACCTTTATTTTTAAGAGTGCATAAGAAACGTAATGATGCTATCTGTTCTAACTATGAAAGGTACAGCTGTCATAAATCCAGAGAAAAAAGCTGCATGGCTATAATAGTATGTGAGAGAGTCAGTGGTAATATCATGATTGGCCGAATACCTCAAGCGTGTGACGGAAATGTTACGCCCCTCAACATACTGTGATGCCGTCTCCCGGCACGACCAGACAAAACCAATAAAACCCATTACAAACGAGGCATTTTTTGCATCCAGTGGGGACATAATTACGGATTATAATGACCTATACTGTCTTTTTACGCACTGTGTTGCAAGGCCGGAAGGTTTGCGGCAACCACATGTGACAACCCCGGGCTAGACTTCGCTTCGTCCACGGTGAAAGCCGATCCGGCGATCCACAACGCGAAGTTGATGTATTTCCTCAGCGACCAGCACGGATCAGCTCCAGGCATGACGAAGCAGATATCATCCTCTTTTGGAAGACCAAACAAAGTAGTTTCACTTTCACAACGAAACACACGGCAACAACAATACTACAGCGAGAATCAAAGTTACGCCTTCTTTCTTTGCGTGAACATTTGGTGCTCTGATTGGCCAGCTATCCAGTGCGTTGTGATTGGCCGAATACCTCAAGCGTGTGACGGAAATGTTACGCCCCTCAACATACTGTGATGCCGTCTCCCGGCACGACCAGACAAAACCAATAAAACCCATTACAAACGAGGCATTTTTTGCATCCAGTGGGGACATAATTACGGATTATAATGACCTATACTGTCTTTTTACGCACTGTGTTGCAAGGCCGGAAGGTTTGCGGCAACCACATGTGACAACCCCGGGCTAGACTTCGCTTCGTCCACGGTGAAAGCCGATCCGGCGATCCACAACGCGAAGTTGATGTATTTCCTTTGCAACTTTACAGATCTTCTTTATGCAGCAAGAGCTTGTAACACTCCAAAGAGAAAGGAAAAATTTAAATCGCATCATATGACCCCTTTAAAATATATTAAAATAGAATTATTTTAAATAATATATCACAATATTACTGTTTTACTGTATTTTTGATCAAATATATGCAGCCTTCGTGAACATAAGAGACTTATTTCAAAAACTTGAGCCCACAACGTAAATTGACAGTCCTAATAAAATACACTTTTCAATCTGATTCAGTTATGTGGATTTACTTTGTTATTTTTAGTTCATTCTATTCTATTTTTAACTTCTGTTAACCCTGTTTCTTCACCACTTTGTGTTCACAGTGGTTGAATGTTGAAGCTCAAACAGCCAAAGATGGGACATCAGTCTGCCAGCGTGGCAGAAACATGGTGCTGCATGGCGGGGACACTTTGACTGTGTTACTGTATAACCCTGGTGTATTATTGTTAGATTTTTCTATAAGTATTTATGTGTACACAAATGTAAATAATGAACGAGAGTAGCTATAATTTGACTGGGGTCATCAGACTTGTGTGTTCCAAGTGCCCACCCATCATTTGTGTGTGTATCTGTGCCATAAGGAAACTTCATTCTTGACAAACATTTCAGCATACGGTCGTTGCTGCTTATGATATTGTTGTAATGTTTTATAATGCTATGCAATTATTTTCACTAATTTTATAGAACCGTGCGTATGAGAGTTTGAAAATTTGTTGTTGTATGTGTGAATATTTTTGGTTCACGTCAGACCCCCTAGACCCCTCAGATGCATATTAACTAACAAGTACCAACTCTAAGTGACCTAACATAATATGTTAAATGATTTTGTGGCAGTTAAATGGATTTGCATTGCACTTACGGTACACTTCTGTTCAAAACACCAGTACAAAACTGCACAGGTCCTTTCACTTTCAGAGAACACATTCAGGGAAATATTTGTTCAGACATATGCTAGATATGTAAAATTCACATTAATGTCCAGTTGTTTGTCGACAAGCATCAGATGTTTAAGCGTGCGTGCGGATGTTTGCGTTTTGTGTATATTGAAGCATTAGAGTTTATGCTAATTTGCTTATCACAAACCTGTGGTAGTTGGAAAAAAACAAATACTGTTTAACAATGAAACACGCTATGCGTGAGAATTTAGCTGCGCAGAAATGAAGAAGGAAACGAGTGATTGTTGGATGACTGTGCCTCTGTTTTTCTGTCCTCTGTACTGGAACTCTCTCTGGTCTTTTGTACTTCATACTCCAGTTATTTACTGTAAATCGGCCATTTGTGCCCACCCTGAATTTGTTCATGACTCCAACTTTGCATTACTAAAGTAATGCAATGTGACGGTAATTTAGGGTTTCTCTTGTAGCTTCGTTTTTTTTTTTTTTTTTTACATTTAAGGCATTATTTCCTGTCAATTCAATCGTGGTTTAAGCTAAAACATTACTGGTGCAAGTTGCAACAGTATTCGCTCTGAATCTGGTGGCGTAACTTTTTTTCCTCATTGTCTTTTTTTGTTTGTTTTGATAAGCTAAGCTAATGAGCATTCTCAAGGTGTGCGTCGCACAATGGCCGATCACGACGATGGTTTTTGTCGATTCGTTGACCTCCTCAATGACAAACCGCAACTACTGGCCCTAATTTAGCAAGAGCAGTTCTCTGCGCTGACCTCACCTCATAAAAATCCACAACATAACGCTGTGACACTAATTGGAAGTTCCCCCACAACTGCCAAATGGTGCATGCGAGTGCTTTAAGGGTCAAGGGTCGTGGAGCCCCCACTTCTCCGTGGCTCTGAAGCTGGCGTGTGTGTCTTTAAGAGTGTGTTTGTGTGTTGGTTGTGACCCCCTTGTCCAGATTGACTTCATGTCAAACATATGTTTGATCTTGACGAAGACTTTGAGAGTTGTTCTGTGTTGTTTGTTTGTTGTGTTGGTGTTCTCCTACATGTCACATTGGCAGAAATGGGAGAAAATCATGGCTGGCAACTATTGTAATGTTTATATATATATATATATATATATATATATATATATACATATACATATATATATATATATATATATATATATATATCCTGACGAAGACTTTGAGAGTTGTTCTGTGTGGTTTGTTTGTTGTGTTTGTGTTCTCCTTCGTGTCACATTGGCAGAAATGGGAGAAAATCATGGCTGGCAACTATTGTAATGTTTATATATATATAAATATATATGTATATATAAATATATATATTCTATTATTTTTTTACATTTGTTTTGCAATATTTATATTTTTGTATAATAAGATGTTTTGTTCAATAATGGTCATAATGCCAGTTATGCTTAACAATGCAGGGATTTTTACGTCTGTCGGAAAACACTATTATTACAGTTTCTTTGTTACATTATTGGATTTTGATCTGTATAAAGTGCTTACTAATGTTAAATAGGAAAAAAAAGAGTATATAACATTTACCTTACAGATTCATCATAGCTCTTAAAGGATTTTAAAAGGAAAATAATCAATGTTTTTTTTGTTTTGTTTTTTACAGACTGCCATTTTTTCCCTTGTTTTGGTGTGGATGTATGTCGTTTTCAGTTACAAAGATAAATGTATGCCATATAATTTATTTATATGAAAATTTATTTTTGTAGTGTACATAGTAGTTGTCAAGTTATTTGACAGAAGTATATTTTTAAAGAGTTTATATTTGTAATGCTACCATTGTTTGTGAGAACATAACTGAGAAGACATTAAGATACACACTTTCATTGCTAACTTGTTCACGGACAACTAAAGTTCCCCTGCTACAGTGTTATATAGACCAGAGTGAGTCCGATCTGAAGACTGTTTTGGGGTTTTGTGAAAAGCTAGCCATGAAAGTAGAACAAATGTACTAGCTCTCTAAATAATAATGTTCAAACACTGATAGAATTCTAACAAATAAAAATATTATAACTTATTTGTCTCTTTGCTATACATTTAATAAATGATTCTTCAAATTGTAGCTAACCGTGACTATTTCTTTAACGTAACCTTACGACCTGCATGACTCAACTGTTGCGTCGAATATGGATGGATGGATCGATCCTTAAGTATCGATACTTTCGATACTGATGTTGTATCGAAAGGATCGATCCTCACATAAAAATATCGATTCTAAAGTGCATTTTTTAACCATTAATTGTATTTATATATCAATAAATTCCATAAAAAGTCCATAAAAAAAGTTTCTAAGTATATTAGCGAATAATTGTGTTGAATAGAACCATCGGAACACACGCAAATGCTGAAAGACAGAACCAATCAATCACAGACAGCGTTCGCTGCTGAAGCATGGCTCAGAGTGCTTGTTCAAATAGGGCTGCGTTTCCCAAAAGCATCAGAAGCATAAGTAGATCTTAAGAAACCATTGCCACATTATGACATTAGCCTACATAGCATTGTTACTGTATATAAAATCAGTTCTGAAAAATGCATCCCGGTTTCCACACAAATATGAAGCAGCAATAATAATAAATGTTTCTTGAGCAGCAAATGATATTAGAATGATTTCTGAAGGATCATGTGGCACTGAATACTGGAGTAATGATGCTGAAAATTCAGCTTTGATCACAGATGCATTTTAAATTACATTTTAAAATATATTAAAATAGAAAATAGTTCTATTTCACAATATTGCTGCTTTTGCTGTTTTTCGTTTTGTTTTGTTTGTTTGTGCAAATAAGTGCAGCCTTGGTGAGCATGAGACTTTTTATTACAAAATCTTACTGACCCCAGACTTTTGTGTACATGTAATATTTATTTTAAATTGGCTAGTGTGTGCAAGTAAATTTATTTAAACTGGTTGTTAAAAGTTCAAATGGATTGTGTTATGTTCTGTAATTGCTGTTAGTAAATCTGTCAGAAAAATATATGCAAAAGTTTCACCTTTATGGGTACAACAGCCTGGCAGCCTTTTACAAAAATTAACCATGTTTTTATTACAGTAACCACAGTTTACCACAGTATTTGTAGTAAAACTGCAGTAACCACAAATTTACCATGGTAATGATAATAATACTACATTTGAGTACTTACTTTATTTTTCATGAGGTACCCTCAAAGGTGCACCTTTGTAACTTATCTACCCTTAAAGCATGCATACTTGTATGGTACTAATATGCTTACTCTTAGGGGCATAGTTACCTTTGAGGTTACTGCCCTAGTACAGGGCTAAAATACAATTATAGTATATTTTATTTCTGTCAGTGTAAACAAAAAAAGGCCTATGAAATGTTAAAAAAAACATGGCTTTAAAATCTAATATTAAATGAGTTTAATTACTGATTATATTCTTTTAATAATTTAAAAGATCAGTTTAGTTTAGAGGCATCAGTATCGATATCGGCGATACTGGGCTTGAAAATATCGGTATCGGATCGAAAATAAAATAAGAGGTATCACCCATCCCTAGGCCGTCGAACATTAGTATTTTCATCACCTAGCGCCCAGTCATTAGGAATTTCCTCACATACGGGCCTTAAACTAAAAAAACCTGATTGATTTAGCCAAGCCATCCAATCCGTTGTTGCTTATACTATGCGAATTCCCTGACCTAGCCTGTGTACGTTTCAAACAGCTCCATTTGAAGCCTAATCAATTTGCCTGAACTTTGCATTAAAGTCACGAAAGTCCAACAACATTATCTCGCACAGGATTTCGACTTGCTGACATCTGGCTACAAATTCAATCTCCCCCCGTTCGGGCAGCCATGCTCTACTCTGCGCTCGGCTCTCTTGTATGATTCTGATTGACAGTTTTATAGACTGCAAGGAAATTGGTTGTAGTTACAATACAGCTGGTGTGCTCTAAGTAATGAAAAGGGGCATATGGCCTTAAAAACAGAGTGATGGAAGCTGATTCAGGCTGCCCCCTTCTAACTCTGCTGCATGGGTGGCAGCCATTTATTATTAATACGCTGGAGTTGCCAAGCTTGTTTCAATCTACTGTAACCTTTGATACACTGCAGCGACTTGCTCTCTGAATACACTGTGGTCGGTGTAATTGCTTTTCGAGCCAAGGAGACCACAACCTGTATGAGCCAATCCGGATTGACGTTCTAATCATGTGATGTGATCTAGGCTCAGAAATAGCACTTTGGCACTGGATTTAGTTGTTCATTAACATTTATTGCGAAATGTGCTTTGTGCTTTTCGCTTCAAATAAATGAGTAAATTATTCCAAAAAGACCCTTTATTGACACTAAACTGTAATATCGGCTCATGAAATTGGTGACCTTGTGACATAATCTGACATTTTCGAAGAGGTTGTTATTGAAGGATGAGGCATCACAAACTATATTGAACCTGACAGCAAACCTGCAACCTTTTAGTATCATTCATTCCACATGCAAAGAAGGAATTGACTTTGAATCTTGAAAACCAGATGCAAAAAAAGAGAAACATGACTGTTTTTGGTGTTGTTTCCCCTGCCATTATATTTATGAGGACATAAATACATGAACAACATCTCCAGAACTGATCGGAGAGTCACTTCATCAGCATTTGACCGTTTAATTTCAGTAAAACTATCATGTCATACACACACAGAAATGTAAAGGTATTCACGGCAACCCGTCAAAATAAAAGTTCGGTTTAACTTGAGGGCATTGGCAGAAATATATTACTGTTGTTGAGTAGAATGTACGTAACAGACTGCTACTACTACTACTAAAATTATTAAAACCTTATTTTAAGGAATAAGCATTCAATATTTCTTCAATGTTTTAATTGTATTATTAAATTACCTTTATTTTCCAAAAAATACAATTTGTTTAATTTTCATTACTTAAAAGGTAGATTAAATGAATGTTTTATGCCTTAAAAAAATGTAAATACACAACACAGAATTTCTGAGCAAAAAATCATAAGGCTATTGTAAGAATAAATGAAACTTGTTTTATGCTTTCAAATTAGACATGCTAAAACAGAATTTGGTTACAATAAAACATAAGGTTGGAAAAATAAAACAATTCATTGGGCCCCAAACATGTCGTATTTGTTAAACTTTTAATAAATTGATGTAAAATTGTTTAAGTTTCATGATTTTAATTAATTAGACATGCTTTTTCATTAATAAAATGTAATTTAACCATTAAAAAGGAATCCAGAAAAAAAAAACCGGAACCCTTCACTAACATTATAAGTGGTCTTTAAAAAGAAATAACATGGTGTTTAAAATATTTATTAAACATCTTTCATAAGTAAAAATTAATGTAATATTACAACATTTAATATTTTAAATATTTGTTCACACTTTATTTTAATATTCAAACATTGCTATTAACAAACCTGCCTCAATAAACTCCTAATTTGCTGCTTATTAATAATATTAATATAATATTAATTAATATTAATAATAAACTATTCATATTAATAGTTAGGTAGTTGTTAAATTTAGCTATTAGGTAAGATTAGGGATGTAGAATATGGTCATGCAGAGTATGTGCTTTATAAGTACTAATAAACAGCCAATATGTTAATAACAGGCATGCTAATAAGCAGCTAGTTAATAGTGAGATTTGGTACCTATACTAAAGTGTTACCAAATATTTTAACCAATTGGCTCAATCCGATTTGCTGCTTGCAGTCAGTTCAGTAGTTAAAAAAAGCGAACTATCAAGTTGGACAATTTCTGCTTCTTGTCGTGATGTACTTTATCACCGATAAAATGGATTAGATCTTATATTTGTCAAATACACAGATGATTTAGACATTTTCATTATTTACTGCTTAATACTGCGCCTTTATGTACAAGAAAAAAGTTTAACATAAGCCTATACTGTTTAAAGACCAGTGAAGTGGAGTCTATATTTTTTATAGATTTAATTTTGATAAACAGGGCACAACATAACATTAATTATACAATAATTTTTATTGTTATAAAAACATAAGGTAAAGGTGTCAAAATAAACACAAAACACACATTATAGTTGTCATCAGTGAATCTCGCCAATCGTAA